TTTACACGGATGCAGAGGCAACATTTAAGCTCCACATAAGAACAAACACTTTAACAGAACAGCCTGACAAGGTAGGGGCTACCCTGAAAATGGTGCGCTCGCTCCCCAGGAGGTTCTTAAACAGAGGTCATTGTCCCTGGTGGTGCAAACAGTTAACACATTTGGCTGCTAATGGAAAGGTTGGAGGTTCAAGTCCACCCAGAGGCACCTTGGAAGAAAGGCCTGGTGATCGACTTCCAAAAAAGGAGCCACTGAAGACCCTAGGACATGGTTCTACTCTGACACACGTGGGGGTGTCACGAATTGGAATCGACTGGACAGCAACTGGTTTGTTCAGGTCACTGTAGTTCTTAAACTTTGTTGTTTTTCCAGCACCCCGTTGTAGGTGTGTGCACACACATCAGTTGAGACTTTGAAGAAAAATCATTTGCCTTGACAGCCTGAAATGCACTGTCATATTTTCTATTTTATTTAATTTTTTAAAAATGATGGTCACCATCCACTAAGCGAACTTCACGATCCACTAGTGGGTCGCCACTTAGAGTTTGAAAATCACTGATACAGAAGTCATTCCTGCCCTGGTCAGGAAGCTGAACCAGGTGATCTCCAAAACTTTTTCAGGTTCAAAGATCCTATCAATCTATGAGAAATTCCTTCGTCTAACAAGTTCAATGCTCTGTTCTCAATAGCAAACATGGCTGTTCTATCATACCAAAAATTCACTTTCCAAGAAAATTCTCAGCTACTAACCAAAGCTACTTTCGAGTTCTGAGAGCACAGAACAAAAAGAAATAAATCTCCTTAACAGACAGTGCTGCCTTCTGCCCCCTTCCTCACTTTACCTGTGACTTACAGGGCCCTGATATCCAACAGCCTCTAAGCCCTGTGTCACCAACTGCCAGATAAAGCCACACTGCTGAAGCAAAAGGGAAACCTCAGCTCCCTTGAAACGAAGTGGATCTGCAATGCTGGGACTTCTATCTTCTCATCCTCTTTGGTTTGAGAAAGCCGGGTGGTGGCTTTTTTTTTTTTTTCTTTTGATTTCACTATTGTTCTTTTCAGATTTTCTTACTACTCTCTAACTCATACATTCATAGAGTAAGTCCACCATTTCAAAAAAAATTATAAACATACATCTGCTGGTGCCATCCTGGCTGGAGCAGAGGAGAATGAAGAAGACCAAAGACACAAGGGAAAGATTAGTCCCAAGGACTAATGGATCACAACTACCACGGCCTCCACCAGACTGAGCCCAGAACAACTAGATGGTACCCAGTTACCACCACCAACTACTCTGGCAAGGATCACAATAGACTGTCCTGGACAGAGCAGGACAAAAATGTAGAACAAAATTCAAATTCACCAAAAAAAACCAAAAAGACCAGGCTTGCTGCTCTAACAGAGACTGGAAAAATCCCAAGAGTATGGCCCTCAGACACCCTTTGAACTCAGTACTGAAGTCACTCCTGAGGTTCACCCCTCAGCCGAAGATTAGACAGGTCTATACGGCCAACAACAACACATGGGAGGGACGTGCTTCACAGTTCAATCGCATATGTGAGACTAAGGGGCACAGCGGCCCAAAAGCTAAGACGAGAAGGCAGGAAGGGACGGAAAACTGGACGAACGGTAACAGGAACCCGGGGTGGAGAAGCGGAGAGTGTTGACACGTCGAGGGCCTGGCAACCAACGTCACAAAACAATTTGTGTATTAACTGTTTAATGAGACTAATCTGCTCTGTAAACTCTCACCTAAATCACAATTTAAAAGAAAAACAACTCTACCACCACAATACACACTGACAATCTAGTCAGAGATGCGCGTCCTTATGGATCTGTTCCTCTGCGTGGTTGCTGTTGTTAGCTGCTGTGGAGCTGGCTCCCAACTCGTGGCGATCCCACGCACAACAGGATCCAACCATTGTGATCCACAGGCTTTCCAGTGGCTGATTTTTTTGGAAATCAGTCACCAGGCCTTTCTTCCCAGTCCGTCTTAGTCTGGAAGGTCCGCTGAAACCTGTTCAGCACCACAGCAACAAGCAATCCTCCACTGACAAATGGGCGGTGGCTGTGTAGGAAGTACAGTGGCCGGAATCAAACCCAGGTCTCCTGCATGAAAGGTGAAAATTCTACCACTGAATCACCATGTATGTTAAACTGTTTCTTCTCTTGTCAGGTGGAAGTTACCTAAGTCTTTCTCCTACATATGCACAGAGCAAGGAGGCAGAGTACAGTAAACATAACCTGGGCTTGGAAATCAGAAAATCCGGGCTCTTCTACTTGCTAGATGACTTTTATCCAGTTACTTAACCTGTGAGCCTCAGTTTTCTCATCTGTAAAATGGATGGATCTGTCACTTATCTCAAACGCCAAATGCAATAGTCCACATAAAGTATGTGGCTCATAGCAGCCAGTAAGATGTTAGGATTGGAGGCAGGGCCAAGATGGCAGAGTAGTCAGGATGTTAGGATGGTGATTACTGTTAGACTTCATGGTAGTTATGGACTGAATTCTGTCCCCCCAAAAATATGTGTCATAAATCTTAACCCCTATACCTGTGGTTATAATCTATTTGGGAATGGCTTTCTTTGTTACGTTAATAAGGCAGTGTTAGTGAAGGGTGTGTCTTAAACCAACCTATTTTGAGACATAAAAGAGAAGGCTGAACAAGTAACCACGCAAGCAAGGAGAGACAGGGGAAGACAGATGCCATGTGACGGCCACGGAACAGGAGCTGAAGAGACGAGGCCCCTCCCCCAGAGACAGCCGACAGAGACAGAAAGGCTTCCCCTAGAGCCGGCGCCTTAAATTTGGACTTCCAGCCTCCTAAACTGTGAGAAAGTAAACTTGTGTTTGTTAAAGCCACCCACTTGCGGTACTTCCACTATAACAGCACCAGATCGCGAAGGCAGCGGTAATGTTTAACCAGAGAGAAGTCAGGGCCCCGCAACCTGACTCCGAGAACCTTTATCTGCCTCCAGCCGTGTTCTTTCCTCATTTGGCATTGCCCAACTTGGGTCACGCAAAACAAGCCGCTGATTAACACAAACTTTGTAAGGCAGTATGTAGAAAGACAAAAGCCTGAAATGAGAAAAGTTTTCTCTTCACAGAAGATTTTGTGATGAGCGTACAACCTTCACAGAAAAAAACAGTGAAGATCAGTGTAAACTTCTGAGGGCTTCCCTGTCTTCTGTTATTAGAATACCTGCTGACAAGCTTTCCAGCTTCCGTTGTATCTGAAGAAGCAGTGAAGTCCACAAAGCCACAAGTGACGCTGAGCTGGGTGGGAGAAGGTCCCGTGACACTTCTCTTGCTCACCTGTAGCGGACAGGTTTAAATGACCCTTTCACAGGAGGAGACCAGAAAAGAAACACTTATTAGCACGCAGTGTCTAACTTAGATGGTTTAAAGGAGGACGTAGGAATGACGGCGCCGACAGGCCAAGCTTTTCTGGATGGGCTTTTCTGTGTGTTTGACTGATTCATGCCGTCACAGGTTTGTGTTCTGCTATTACCTTTGCCCCCTAGAGGATGCATACGATGGGTTGTGAATTGCTCAAAAAGCCTCGCCGGTAGATGCCCACGTCTCTGTTCACCAAGGAGATCTTCCAATTCATGGCTAGCTTGCCACCCTCCTCCAAAACAAAAAACACCGATCTATACAGATCACAAGGAAAAGCTTACCCAATAAGCTCAGGAGAGCAGTTCACATGCAAGATAGTAACAGCAACCATCTACTGAGCATCTGAAATATGCCAGATACTGTATTAGTCGTTTGACATGCTTTCCTTCATTCTAGACTCCAGCAAATTCGCTGATGTGGATATGATGGTGCCTCCTTTCCAGACAATGAATCTGAGGCTGAGGATCTAAGGTTGTACAGTGTGTAAGCGGCAGATCCAAGGTGTGAACCCAGATTTGTCTAGCGTCAAAGCCCACGCTACTGTTTCAGGCTTACCCGTCTATTTCCTTCCTTAGCAGCAAAAAAGTTTCCTAATTTTCCAAATAATGCATACATATAAACAAGAAAAGATTGCAACCATAGTGGCATTAAAATAAAAACTATGAATCAAAAAGGAAAAGAGCTCTTTATCTTGTGGGGTGGGGATGGTTCTTCTAGATGACTCTCCTTACACACACACATGCACACATGCACACATGCACACAAAGGGTGGATGCCTCACTGGACTGCAATGTCTTGACTGCAACACTAGTATTATTTATCAACTACTCAGTAATATGATTAGTTCACAAATGCATCACGCAATTGCCTCATGACCTTCGGCAGACCGCCTCAATCATTTTGCGTTTCAGGCTCTCCGTCGGTAACATGGAGCTACCATAGAATTTGTTGTGTGAAGCTGAAAAGCAAACAAACTACATCTAGGATAAACGAGACAGCAATGAGTAGTAGTCACAGAAAAAAACTTTTTTCAGAAGAAAAAATATTTATACAGAAATAGCCACTCTTATCTGCAACAGTAATATAATTTGGACTTCGAGCAGACAATGGGAAACCACAAAAGGGCTTGGGCAAGGGAAGGTTGCTTTAAGGTGAATCTGGCAGGAAAGCAGAGGACTAAAGTAATCAAAGCAAGAAGAGAAGGGAGGACAAGTAATTAAAGTCCTTTAGATTGTATTGTGCAGACAGGGGAGGGAAAAAGGAAAACAGGAATAATGAGAGTAATTTTCAAGGGAAGAATTACAATGGATGTTAGCCTTGGTGACCGAATAATGACCGTTTCACTGACAGAAACGCAAAAATAGGCAATACTTATTGGTTAGAGAAGACCACAGGTAATTTAACTTTGCTTTAACCAGCCTTACTCTGACAGTTTCCTTTTTCCAAAATCAGAGTCATATGGATTTTTATCAAAGATAAATTATTTGTCCCTTCCAAAGAACCTGAATGATACCACTTAACAGTCATCCTGTTGTGTGGCAGGTTGCTTTCTTCTTTAAATGGATGTATCATTTACGTTGAATGAAAAGGATTATCACCTCAGGAAGTTGTTAACAATCCAGTCGCGTCTAAGCATGGCGCTGAGTCGTCCACCCCCCTCACTCTCGGAATGAATTTCTGTTTCTCCACGTGTCTATCTGTTGGGTTGAGTTGAGCCTGAGATCCCACGCAAGAGAAAAGGAAGGACCCCTTTGGACTTCAGTCTTCTCCTGAAAGAGGAAAAGGAGAGGGCTGAACGAGAGGTTCTTTAGAGTTCTCCTAGCTCGAGAAATCTACCCACTCCCTCTAGTATGTTCTCCCTTGTGATGAACAGCACATCTTTCTAAGGCAGCCGGCCACTGCAAAAACAGTACAGCTTGAGGTCATAACACAAAACAAAGCTAAATAGGTCACAGGAAGATAGAACCTCTGACCTTGGCCTCATTAGCACCCTGCGGAGGCAGCCCAAGAGAGCAGAGCTAAAGAGCCCCACATGCTACCCATCGAGAAGAGGACTGGGGGGTTGGGGGGCCAGGAAGCAGGTGTTACACACTTCTTTCTTCCCACCTAAATTGATCAAGACTTGTTTCACACTGGATGCACCAGCATTGAGCTCTGCACCACAGAATGTACAGACAGATGAGATGCAGCCAGCACCCTCCCATGTGGATGGGACGGTCTAAGTGGTGTTATTTCAATTGTGGATATTCTTATCACTGGGGGTTGAGGCTAATGAATGAATGCTACTTGACAAGTACCATTTTCTCCTCCCTTTCCATGTGTGAAAATAAATTTTTTTTGTTCTGATATTTACAGTTTATAAGGTTCCTCAAGACAGTGAGATGAAACAAAATATTAATAAGCTCATTAAATCAGGTAGAACTTTCCCTCCTTTTAAAAATTTGTCCAGAACGTGAAGTGAAAATTAATAAAGAGACAAATACTCCATTCAAAATATGGAAAAAAAAGTTCACCTCACCTATAACCAACGAAATGTAAATTAAACCAAAATACCATCATTCACTTATCAACTTATGGAAGCTTTGAGAAAGTAACATTTGTTTTGGTGAGGGTATGGTGAGCTACATGGGCCCTCCTGCTTGTGGGTGTACAAATATGCGGGGGTTTGTGTGTCAATGGATTTCCTCTAAGGAAATAATTTTCTTCCTTAAAAATTGTTAAGTAATATATAATAAAATCCTAAGATTTTTGAAATCTTATGAACTAGTAATTTCACTTCTTGGGATCCATGCTAATGAAACAATCAGATACACATAAAATGTTATGTAAAGATGCTTATCCAAGTTTATTTATAATAGTGAAAAATTCCACTAAATATCCATTGAAGGTATGGTTAAAAAAATTCTGGTACATCCTTGTGGTAGACTATAAAATGTACATACATGTATAAAATTACTGTTTCAAATCTATAATGGGACAGGGAAATGTTCATGATACTATGTGAAATAATATAGACAGGATACAAAACCCTAGATGTCATGTGATCCCAATTTCATATATACATATGTGTGTCTGTGCGTGTGTGCATATATACACACACATAGAGATACAGACACACCCACATGCACACACACATACACACACACACAGAGGCACAGAGGCGGGGGACACTAAAAGCAAACACAGCAAAATATCAACAGTGTTATTAAACTATGGGGTTTTTTTTCCTTATTTATTCTTTACTGTATTTTATGGTACTCTGGTGATCGACCGCTGACCGGAAGGTCGGGGATTGGAAACCACCATGGGCTCCTCGGGACAGAGATGCGCAGTCTGTTTCCATAGAGATTTACAGCCTGGGAAACCCTATGGGGTCGCTACGAGTCGGAATCGACTCGATGACACCAGGTTTGGTTTTTTGGTTTTTGCCATGAAATGTATTAGGTCAAACCATGAAACGTAATAGGGCAAAAATGGTCAACTATTGACAATTTCATATGATTTAACCTAATATTAGTTCATCATCAAGGGAAAAAAGAAACATTTAAAAAGAAAGAGTTGACTAGGCGGGATTAGGAAAATATGCCTTGAAAATATACTACGTATTTGGAAGACTCATTGACAACTAAGAAATGACACTGAAGAAAATAATAAATTAATACTTAATTACATAAGGTTCCTGTATATAGTAAATGTATCTTATCTGCTATGGAGAATCTTCACCTGTTTCTAGTAAGCGTAATATTTTTTTTCCGCTGACAAAAATGTACTGCAAGATTTCAAACGGTATTCTCAAGGTCTGGATTAGACACTGTCACTCCTCTAAAAATTCTAAAACTTCTAAGTTGTATTCACTGACATTCCATACTTCACATATAACTGGTTCCTCAAATTGTTGGCAGTCGGGTGTAAATCTTCAACTGACAACGTTTAGGTCTGAGGTTACGATTACATTTAACAAAGTACTTTCTTTAAACAAGAAGTAAATAGCCAAGACAGAAAACAAACCAGGATGGCAGATGTTGCTGATACATGGATTTTTAATGCTTTCTACAGCTCTTTTTTTTTGTTTGTTTGTTTCTTATCGTAGAACTGTGTATTTTATTATGAGCAATAGGATTGCCATTTCCCTTTTCAGTCTTAATAATTAAATAAAGAAATGCCACAGTTCCAGCTGAAGTCCTGGGACAATCATTTCTCAAAGTCGGCAGTTACCATACTACACGGGGCAACGAGCAGTTCTGCCAGGGCCCAAAAGCTGTCAAAAATCTCACAATCAAGCACATTTAATCTGTGAAATAATCATTTTAATAGGGCACCCATCCATCACTGAATTAGACTTCTTTAAGGTGACAAAAAAAAAAAAAAAACAGATGAAAAACTTGGGTCTAAGCTCAAAAGAATCCTCAAATGCTAATCTTGCTGGGTTGGGTCAGTGTTAACATATTGATGCAAAAAGAGAGGAAAGGGGGAAAATGCCAAATATTATGTACTTTACTTTTTCCATAAATATTATCTCTTCTAACTCCTCTTCCTTGTTTTTCCCCCGACAACTTATGTGAATGCACCCATTCCTGCTTTCTTGTTCACCTCTAAATTCTGTATCACACACTTACTGCTTTGGCTTCCTCGCCCCATTTTATGAGACCCTAACCACCTCATTAACATTTCTGAAAGATTAAAAGTCATTAAGAAAAGACTGAGATTGGATAAGGTTTTTTCTTAAATCCTCTGGGATTTTTGGCTATTTGAGATAATAACTGTAAAACTTACAATCGGTTAGAATTTTATTCCACTATCATCATACAGGAGCCCTGCTGGTGCAGTGGTTAAAAGCTCGGCTGCCAATCAAAAGGTCAGCAGTTCGAATCCACCAGCCGCTTCCTGGAAACCCTAGGGGACAGTTGTACTCTATCCTATAGGGTCGCTATGAGTTGGAATCGACGCGAAGTCAAGGGGTTTGTTTTAGTTTTACCATCGTGTACGTCAAGCTCCCCATGTAACGTCCCCTAAGATATTCTATTCAACTTCCACTAGCTTTGGTTTCGTTTTTAAATCTCTTTAGAATAAAACAGCCAAGGTCTTATAAAACTGTTAGTTATTTCACCGCATCTTTATATTATTAATTTCCTAATTACAAAGTTGTTCAAAAGTAAACATTGCAAGGTTCAGTACTTAAGCAAAAAGTAAAAGTTCCCAGGAACCCCACTGTGCCAAAAGAGAGCCACCAGCAAGAGTGTGGCTTCTATTTCTCCAACCATGTTTCCTATACATATACTTGCTTTTTTTCCCTCCTCTTTGAAATATTCCTGGTGTCCCTTCATAACAGTATCTAAATCCTTTCATTTCCATACAGATGAAACACACTGAAGAGGTAAGCTACCAATAGACAACCAAGAAGTGAACTGTAAGCTACGTGGTGGTCCGAGCATAAATCCTTGCCCATGTAGCCAACTACATTAGCTATAGAAAGCTGTTGAAAAATATACTTAAAGAAAATACAGGTAATATGCCAAATGTAACACAAGGTAGATGAAGTTTTAGTATTTGGGGGTTTCCTGAATTATTGGAATGACATTTAGTGTTTAAGGGATATATCAAAGTCTGGAAGACAGACCTACCCTTCCCTGGACGACTGGTTTTCGCAAGTGAGGGGCCCTTGACATTCCTGAAGTCCGCAGACCCTTGAAACAAAGCAAAATAGCAAGGTTTTAATGAGTGAGATAACCCTTTCCATCCAAAGGGTGAAAAACAACATCTGTTAAAAACCGAATAAACTGCAGTAATGGGTCCAGCAATAGGGCCTAGAGGATTTCAGAGATAGTCTTTGCTTATCAAAATAAAAACCACAACAGAACAATGGTTTTACTCTCAACTCCGTGTTCTAAACTCTCTCTGGATTAATCAGCATGGAGTCTGGCCAAGCTCATTAAAACAAACTCTGGACTCTTGCAGGACAGCTGGCTGTGTTTACTGTCCTCCCAAACTACTGGGCTCTTGTAGCAAGTACAATGAGAACATGGGAGAACCACAGAACCCTGGGCGTCCTTTACTGAGAGTATTTCTAGGATTCACTTTTTAAATTGCATTTTTTAAATTAGACGCCAGTGTTCTTACCATGTTTGCTTTTTTTTTTTTAAACTGAAAAATCGGTCCTTGTTTATTTTCCTTGTGCACTCCTGATCTCCAGTTAAATTTTGTAGCTACTGAACACCACTGGAATCTGTGACCACTCAGATGGGGTAACAGATAAACTCTGATTAGCTTGTCAAGCCTTCCAAAGCATGTAGATACTCAGGCATCTTAAATCATGTGCCAAGGGGGTGGAAAGACAAACTTCTTTCTTCTCCTGAAACAAGCTTCCTCCACCCACCCAAACCTCCTACATCTCTCCGTTCTCTGTTCTCGCCAAGGGCCTGACCTCCCATCTCTGCAGCAAAGGGTGAAGTTTTGCCCGAGGAGGGCTCAGCAGATTAAAGGCCTCCGTTCAACAAATATTTGCTTGCCCACTCCAGCCAGAGTGAAACAGTTCGCTACTTGCTGACTGCCCCGAGAAACACTGAAAAACCTTTAGGGAGCTTGTTCAGATGCCTGCTAGGAATGAGACACTAATATCAAGGTAAATAATTAAATCCAAACCCACAGAACATTCTAGAAAACCAAATGAGTTACCAAACTCCCAAGTTCCAACCCAAGTCTCCTGAAACAGAATCAGTGTATGATTTCAAAAAATACTTTACACACCCTTGCCTTGCTGAATGGCCTCAATCCAGTCATCTTAAATCCTAAACTACTCGACGTAAAGCCCAACTCTTCTTAAATTTTACCTGTACAGCCTGTGACCACTCAGTTTAGACTGTCCAGTCTGCCATTTTTCTCAGAGAATTTCTCACTGCCTGAATCCCACCGCCCACTCCCCTCTCAAGATCCCCCCATCTACCAATCCTCACCCCAAATCCCTGAGATGCCTATTCTTTGCAAATCAGAGAAGACAACAGAGAAGGAAAACAGGAAGCTGTGGGAGAAACATCCCTTTCAACTGTCACGGGCGGGAAAAACCTCGCAGATGTGTGGTCCACACTGTCCCACCCCTCTCTCCAAGCCAGGGCCAGGCAAGGGGACTTGGTGAGGGAGCTGCCGGCACAGCCTGGTGGCGGGGAGCGGGCGGTGGGGCTGGTAGACAGATCTGCCTAAGCTAATTCCCCCAAATCCTCTGATGCTGGAAAGTGAGGATGTGCAGGCGCTAAGGCGTGCCCAGGTTGTGCCGGCTGAAGTTCTCATTTTTTATTGTTTTTCTTCAGTTGTGTAATCACAGCTTCTGTTTCAAACCCCTAGAAGAATCCGGGGCGCTGGGCTTCCCCAGCCAGTGACAGGGAGGAGAGCGGCGCTCCTCACCGGAGGTGCCGAGCGGCTGGGGTGGGGCGTGGAAGAAAACCCCGGCTTTTAGGGTGAAGAGCTGCGATCGGGGGTGGGGGGAAGCCGAGCGATGCTCGCGGAGATCTGAGAGCCGAGACCGCCGGCAGGCTCCAGACCCCACCAACGAGCTGATTAACGGGATTGACGGCACTTCAGGCCGTTCTCCCCACCCACCCGCTTTCTGGGGGAAACCACCCCCAGCAGAAGGGCGGCCGGAGGCACGGGGCACTCGCTGGGAGGCACGGCCGCGATTAGCGCCCTAATCCCCAGTCCCGACCCGCCCAGCCCGTCCCGGGTCCCCCCACCAAGGGCCCGCGCGCAGCCAGGCGGCCCCAACGTCCCTGCCCGGCGCGCGGCTGGGAGCCGGGCCGGCGTGGGCGGCTGGGGGGGCACCGCGGGAAGCGGGGGACCTCGCGGACTCCAAGGAGCGGTTGTCAGTTCCTGGGGTGCAGATGTCCGCGGAGTTGGGGCGCGCAGGCCAGGGAGGAGGTGGGCTGGAGCCGGGGGCTGCGGCGGGGGCGACCCGGCCAGGGAGCGACCCCCGCCCTCC